AGCAGTAAGAACTTGGTAGTCGCAGGAAATTCAAAAAAAAAAAAAAAAAAAGAAAAGAAAGAAATAATGAAAGAAAGAACAATCGAATAATAATAATAAAATCACGAAAACAATAGGGAAAAAGAAAGTACGCACTGATCAGACCCGCCAAGCTTTCAGCAAATCAACCAAAGTTACCAAAGATTTCATTGAGATCAGTGGAAGTTGTCGAGTCTCTCTTCCTCAAGGGGGAAAATAAATAAATAAAATAAAAATAAATCACAACGTCAAAAAGTCATATACCCCGAACCTTAGTGTCTTGGTTTATTATGTTATATTTTTATCCTTATTCCTTCGTAACCTCGAAATTCCTTCTGCCTTTTACACCCCCTTCAAGTGGTCCATTTCCACTGGTGGCTGTTGGGGCCCATTCCATATCCAACCCCTTCTCCATCAACTAAACAACTAAACCGAACCGCGTGGTGGCTTCCACTCTGTCTCACAACAACCTCCTTCCCCCTGCTTGCCATGGCCCTTTTGTTCTTCTGATCACCCTCTATACTTTGTTTTTATATTCCAATACCGACTGTCATCTTAGAATTTTCGATTGTTCAACCTGAACAGACTAATTTAACTGCCCCAGGGGGCTGCGGTTCATCATGTCTAGACGGAATAGCAGAGACTATGAAGGAGTAAGATATTACCGGCGCTCCATGGTTTTAAAATCCAAACTCATTGACTCTCTGACCAGGATACCTTCGACGATGCCCTAGAAGCTCCAACATCTCAAAACAATCTCACCGTGTCTATTCCCCAGAGTTCCTCTACCCGCTCCCTAACAGACAGTCCTCCGAGCGCTTCGGCTACCACACCTCAGTTAACCGATGCGCCCCCCCTACCAACCGATACCCAGGACGAAGTGAAGACAAATGGAGAGACAACCGATGCTCATTCGGACACACGGTCGGAAGCGGAGGAAACGCCTCGCAAACAAAAATTACAGAAATCCCCACTGTTGACGGCTCACCGATTGTCTACCACTTCCCTCGACGAGGTAAATCTCGCCAGCAACAACAAGGATGATGAGTCCTTCGAGAACCATGACTTAAGCCCGGGTCACAACCCTGGCTCCCCCCCACTACCCTCTAGGGATTCGATGCCGGCTCAGAATCCTCGCCTGTCAGACCCTGCTCCTCCAGTGATCAAGAACACAGCCCCTGCTGCACCGCCGCCACCACCAGCTCGAAAACTCACAGGCCCATTTGCCTGGCTTACTCGGAGTTCGACGGGGAGTAAAGAGGCGAAATCACCCCCTCAGAATAGTCGCCGGAGCACGGCTGCATCTATATCCACGATCTCCAGTAATCCTGAATTGGCCGGCCGAACACAGGATGGTGAGGACCAGGACGGTGCGAGCACGGGATCCCGAAAGCCGGCCCGTAACAGCTTGAAGGATCAGTTTAAAATGCTTAGGATGCGGGATGAAGGGCTAGTTTCGGAAAATGATGAAGGCAGTGTCGCGTCGGGACGCGCAAGCATTAGTCAATCCGCTGGAAGTCCGCCCCCCAGCATCCCAGAAGAAGGTGAAATCGATTCTGCAGCTGTAATAGCAACCTCGCCGCCCAATGTGCCACCGACGGTGAACCCAAATCTCGCTCCGGGAACTGTCTCTGGTTTCTCGGCCTCTGCAACCGACGCAGCGGCACCTGTTGATTGGGAACTATGGCAGCAACTAGTCAACCGTGGTCCCCAGGCACTGAAAGGCACGAACTCGGAAGAGTTGAACGCCGCCATCAAACGGGGGATCCCGCAGACCATTCGAGGGGTTATCTGGCAAGTCCTGGCTGACAGCAGAAACCCCGAACTTGAAGAGGTTTACCGGGAACTAGTTGCGCGTGGCACAGAAAGGGAAAAACCCCGAACTTTGAATGGTACAGCAAATGGAGAAAAAGAGTCCGCATCTTCGTCTCGATCATCCATCCGCTCCGAACATTCTGGTTCGGCAGCGCATTCGGTGAACGGGTCCCCTAGCCCTTCACACGAAGTGGACCCTGAAAAACTGGCAAAAGAACAGGCTGCGAGCGAGGCGGCTCGGAAAAAGAAGGAGAAAGAAGATGGTGTGACCCTGCAGAAGCTGGAAAAGACTATTCGGCGGGATTTGGGTGCTCGCACGAGTTATTCCCGCTACTTTGTGTCGCAAGGGAACCAGGAAGGTCTGTTTGGTTTATGCAAAGCGTACGCTCTGTACGACGAGGCCGTGGGTTATGCACAGGGCATGAACTTCATTGTGATGCCACTGCTATTTAATGTAAGTGACCTGAATGCATACCTCAAGAACGGCCTCATGCTAACATACATTTCTTGTAGATGGATGAGGTTGAAGCCTTTACACTGCTGGTCAAGTTGATGAATCACTATGGTTTACGGGAGATGTTCATCCACGATATGCCTGGTCTGCACCGTAGCCTTTTCCTTTTCGAACGCTTGCTCGAGGACATGGAACCTGCCTTATACTGCCACCTTCGCCGGCGAGGGGTGCATCCGCAGTTGTATGCCACACAGTGGTTCCTGACTCTTTTCGCATATCGCTTCCCCCTACAACTAGTTCTCCGCATCTACGATCTCATTCTTGATGAGGGACTGGAGAATACAATTCTCAAATTTGCGATCGCTATTATGCGCCGAAACTCGGAGGCGCTTTTGGGTATGAAAGACATGACTCCACTGACCACCTTCCTTAAGGAGCGATTATTCGATGTCTACATTGACAAACAACCCTCAGCATCGTCGATCCTCGAGTCCGGGTTCTTTGGCAGCTCGGGGGCTGCCGACAAGGAAGTGTATCGCGCGGACCTCTTGGTCCAGGATGCCTGTGCTGTTCCTCTGGATCGCGAGACGATTCGTGCCTACACGGCGGAATGGGAAGAAAAAGTACGGACTGAAAGAGAACGCGAACATGAGCTAGAGAACCTCAAACATACGGTCGCCACACAGAGTGCCCGCATTCGATTACTGGAAGAACAAGCTGAGGCGTCGGACAAAGAGCATGTTCAGCTTGCTTCTGAACTTGTCCATCTCAAAGTAGAAAATGAGGAGCTAACTGACCTGAATGACGCCTTGAATATGCAAGTCAAAAACCTGAAGATTGTAGTGGATAAACAGCCGGCAGAGGTCGAAGAGAAGCTCCAAACTGAGATGGATCGCATCATGAAGCGCAACATGGAGGTTCAGAACGAAAACCGGTCAATGGTGGAGCAAATGGCGGAAATGGAGAAAGAACTCGTGGAGGCGAAGATGAAGTGGGCAGAGGTAAGCCGCACCACATACTTGCCATTTAAGAATTCAAATCTAACGTCTGTACGCTGCAGATCCATGAAAACCACGAGAATTTGAAACAAAAATGGAGCGATCTCCGCAAAGCTCTGGATTAGGGTCCACTCCTGCGTGGGCTTCTCTTTTTGTACATTTCCGCCGTCCAAATGTGAAGGGCCTCCTCCTCACCTGGCTGGTTTCAACGATTTTAATCTTCACCTTCCTGGTCTCCGACTTGCGTGTACATTTCTTTGACGGAGCGTTCTTGGTATTTGTCCGTTTCGAGGCCTTCTGGCAAGGACAAATGCTTGTTGTATCATCATGTTTCCCTTCCAACGCAGCGCGAGCCCTCGGCAGCGTACCGAGATATTTTATGAGCAGGCATCTTATGAAGCGATTTTCATGTTATGAGTGACTTGGTCATTTCCAGACCACACCCGGTCTCGCCCTGTTTGATCCCTCTGATGCTTTCAGTGTCTGACTTAGTGTAGCGGATATTTTCTTGATTACCAGAATAAGAGATCCCAATGTATGCAGTATATGTCATGAACACATATCATTCAAGGCTATAGGCTTGCAGATTTAGCCCCATCCAACCTCGAGCCAAAGAAAAGCGAAAAGAAAAGATCTATATTCATTTACAGAACATTCTCATAGTACGTAGTCAAAACATCCTCCTTAACCGGTCCGGCCACAGCCTTCAGAGCCTTGTGCGCTTCACACTCGGTATCGTAGTACTTCATATCTTCCAACGAAGCGAACGTCGTCTTGACGGATAGCGTGTACCCCTTGTTGCGAGGATCCGGGAAAGAGTGACCCGCGGCAGCAGCAACAATATACGGTTTGCCGTCCTACACGAGGTACCCCCGTTAGCAAACCACTCTGTATAGGTAGCGCGGTAGTTGGAAATAATTGAAGAATAATTACCTTGGTCGCTGTCTTTGCTAGAATCTTGTATTGCTCTAGAACTCGGTTGCGGTCTTCTTCATTGGGGATGTTGAAGAGAGTGATGCGTTCGATGGGGGCCATTTTTGAATGCTTCCCTTCGTCTGATTGCTGGATTGGCGATATGTTATATAGCAGCTGGGGTCTTGATGCTGTCGGTAGTAGTAGGCGAATGAAAGTTTAGAGTGGTTTGCGATGTTTTGGATATAAGTTACGGAAGATGAAAAGGACGTATGACCGACTGTATATATACCTCCGATGGGGATGGGGGATTTATAATTGGCGTAACCAGATGCCCGTGAGGCGGGGTATTGTATTGGACCCAATTATTATTGCGAGTTTCTACTTGTTTCTTTTCTTACAGTTGGCTGTGAAGCTTATGGATTGAGCTTTTGTCGTTTCCCTTCCGACGGAGTTCGGGATGTCGGTTGGAGTCGGATGTTGATTACCAATGCTGCGTTTGCTTAACGATTGTTTGCCCGTAAGTGAGACTCGATGGAACCTTTTTTCTTGGATAGAGAGGTAGATTTTGGATTGCATGATAATGAGAATAGTAGTAACATAGTGACTTGTTTTTGCTCTGAATTGATACTGTCACGCAGCAATAGTGCGGAATGGAGTCCGTTTTTGGACGCAAATTTCCGTCCGGGTATTTCTTTTGTCGATCCCGCGGAATCAGGGACACTGCGTACCCCTCCATAGTGTCCCCTGCGACTTTTTAGATTGCTCGAATCTTTACTTTCGGGTCCCACTGGGTTGGCCGTGCTTGTTTAATTTATGACACTGTAGATTCCGTCGGGAAGGACATGCAGTTTCTTCGGTATGTCATTGTCCCAGTTGAGATGCAGCTTTGGATGCGGTAGTAGACAATCCGTGTCTAGGTAGTAGTTCTCGCCCCCTACACGGAGGAGTAATGTTCTATGGCCAACGAGGCTGATACCAACCGTGACGCTCCTGCCATTTCCTCGCTTGCTCTGTCATTGACCGTATTCCAGGCAAATTTGCACATTCCAGCACTGTAAGTAAACGGCAGTATTTGTCCACGTAGATCGCGAGGTCGCAAATCTGCCAGAATACCATACCACGATACCCAGGGCACCAGCCAATCCTCTACCCGACTCATGACAGAGTCTAGGGCCGATGCAAATCAACTATCATTGACAGGCTCAGGCCGATTCTTAAAGAACAGCTTATACTTGATGATCTCGACGATTTCCAGTTCTTCGCCATCGGAGTCAGAGGTTGTCTCTTTTTGCCGCCGTTGCACCAAAGCGAGCGGCTGCGCCAGTTTCTTCACCTCACCCGTCATGCGCTGGTATCGACCAACATATAGGTAAACCCGCTTCATCCATTTCGTGTCTTCAGGCGCAGTCCTTTGCGGCGAATAATCGGGAAACATGAGCTTGCCAACTGGGGTCTCGAATGTGGGGATTGAGGGATCATGAGTCTCGTTGGTTGAGGTCGTAGATTCGTCTTCAGCTTCTTGCGATGGGACATTGATTGTGCCTTGGAGTTCGAGGATTGCGAGCCCAGTTGGCGTCTGCAGGACCTGGGGGAGGGGATTGGGGAGAGAGGTGGGAGAGGAGACGTGTGGGTGGAGCGGGATTGTTGGCATTGTGCGTCCGATGTTGATGCTGTGGCTTTTTCTATACTTGTGTATAGAGAAGATTGGTCTGCGAGGAGATCCTTTCTTGTGTATTTTCAACTACTGCTGTTTGGATGAAGAGTATGACGAATTGGTGGTGGAGAGCTGAGATTTGGAGACGCGATTTAACGCGTTTCGGCAGTTCTCCACTTATCAATCTTATCAGTGGCCCTCTTTCCTTTTTAGGACATCGTAACCATATAGTCAGAAAAGCGTCAAGTAAAATACAATTAACCCTATTCATATAGAATTGAATCTTGGAAATAGATAATTGTTGCCTAGTAGAGATATATGGAATTGTATTACGGGAGAGCTTTGGGTCCAACCGAAGGGAAACACTCATTCTAGTCGTCCCATAAGATTCTTTGGAAACCTTTCTTTAGGCATTCGTCTATCCAGAGGGCTAGTCCTGAACGACTAGCTCCTGTCTAACGCCTTGCTCGTTCAGATTTATGTATATGATACTGTAACTGCTTATCCAGGGGATGTCTGAGTATAGCTCTCGATCTCATTTTATCTAAATCCTTGAGCTGACAATCGACCGACGTTCGTAATCGACCTATTATATGTCCTAAACTATCTAATGGTTCTTTACTCGCTATCTAAGTATACTGCAGATATCGGTGGGGATTCTGTTTGTCATTGTTCTTCCATGCCTCGACGGGCGTATGGTGTAGCAGATGGTTTTCGAAGCTCGGCAGCATATGCTGAATGCATTATCCTAGGGGTCCAGGACAGACGGTGCCGAAATTCCTGCTCATAGCTGGCGTATTGTTCACTAGCTAGCAATGATAGAAGGCCCAATCATTGGCTGCGAGCATACAGTGAACGAGGAATCATCTCTGGGAGTCAATTCCACACAACTGTTCGTCCAGACGTTCAAGGGTTTCAAATTAGAATCCACCATCACCTTAAGCATAAAAGTGCCTAACTATCAACAGAATGAAACATGAGAGAGATTGCATCGCATAGCCGGTTTCTCCAGTTCCTAAAATACCCCGAAGACTCAAATCCAACTACAAGCGCTAGATTTTGTTCTTGTGCCTTGCCTCTTGAACTAGATTAACCAGACATCCAAGAAGTGCACCAAAGTTCTAGATGCATCATACCTCGTTATTGCGCTTTCTGAGCTGAGTCGTTTGCAGAAGCTGGACACCTTGTGAAATCGTTGACTACACGAGTATAGACTGCTAACAATAGTCAAGCGTCAGAGCAGGAGTTGAGGTGAGAGTAGCCAGCAAGATGAAACCGGCACCCATGTTGCCTGTTAGAGATCGTAGGTCATCGGTATTGTGTCCCGCATAGAGTTTGGTCATTCTTCCAATTATTCCTGAAGCTCGTCTAGACCGTGCTCCCTCACACGAAATCGCAGGTAGGGTAGTAATTTGGTCTCCTACACCAGGAGAAATTACCGCACGGGTACCAGTAGAACAAGAAATATCGTATAGAGGTGCCGATTGTGGAAGACTTGGGGAAAATGAGTTCGTAGTCCGAAACGAGGTCCTAGCGATGCTATACAGAGGGTTCCTCCCAAGATAATGAACATAAAGAAGCCATAGACATCCTTTATCACCTTAACCAGGCGGTGATAAGATTTCTCTAATGCCCTAAGTAGTACACCAAAGACTCACGCCTGAAGCAGCTGTAAGTCCGGAGCGCCACGGTGACTGTCATCAATGCTTGTGGTAGCAAGCATTCTCGAGATGTTCCAGGCCATTGATGGTTTCGTTCATCATGTCTTCGCTTGTTGTCCCAACAAGACCTTGTGTTTTACCGTAGCGCAGATCACTCAATTCACCTACTGTGAGATTAAGCTCGGAAAGAAGAGTGCTTGCGTCTTTATCAACGCCAGAAATTTCGTGCTCAATATTAGCACAGGCTGTCTCCATTGCGGAGAGGAGACTCGAAACTGAATGGTAATCGCTGGGCGCAGCGGTGGACGTCTGGCCAAACAATTGGACATCCATGTCAATTTCACGTTGATCATTGGAGCTCATACCATCCACACCGGTGTTTAGGATGGATTTACGAAGTTCTGCTTTTTGGCTCTCCCCTTGACGGACTTCTTGGTCAATGTTTCCATTGACCAGATCCATGTCTTGCTCTCGGAGTTGCTGGAGCTCCCGGTAAAGAACTCTGATATGCGGATGAGCGCGCAAGCGCTTTGGAAAGAGTTCTGTAAATTGTTGCAAGGAGATAACTGTGGGCAAAGATGCCGGAGATAGAAGGAAATTGCTTAGAATAGATGGTTCTGATGGAGCCATGATCGCGAAATTGCTAGCGAAACATGCAATTGCAACTGAAATTTCAGAGAGAACAGAGTTTATCTTCTCTTTTTTTCTTCTTTACAGAACCCCTAATTCCCCGATGTTTGATGAATCTTGGCTGATGTGGTATTCAAGGTCAAGACTGTCTTGAACCAATCGGACCAGCCTTTGCGGAAGCAACTGATGACGGGGGCTAACAGTAGAAAAGAGTTATCTTTTAGCCGTGTCGTCTAATCCAGTAAAGAGAACTGCTGAAGACTCTAGAAAGAGGAATGATAGAATCAAAAAACAAGGGGTGTTGGTGGTGAACGTTGGGGGAATGGGTTGTAATGAAGACGTTCCCTTCTTTCTCCGATACATTAGCCCTTTTTCAGCACGCGTTAAGTTCCACTTCCGCTTTCTTACCTTTTCGGGTCTTTTCCCTGAACACGCGCAACACAAGTCCCTTCGCTTCCTCCACCTTATCCTTTCCTCTCAGATACCCTCATTGCTCCGAGTTCAGTGTTGCTCTGCATTGTAGCCTTCTACGCTTGACATCTTCACCTTATCCCTAATCCCTCGGACACTTGTCTCAAAAAATATCAGTGCTTCGAGAAGCCAGGGTTCTTGTCAGCAAGAGTTCCAATTGTATAACGGACTCTTTGACAGTCATTGGTTGTGCAATCAGGGGCAGTCTCAGTCAGACCGGACACTTGCATCTTCAAATCCTATTGCACTGAAATTTTCTCTCTCCCGGTCATTGATTGATTGCATGGCACGTGGTCTTTAGAGGAACAGCGAGTATTGGGAACATCAGCCTGAACCGCTTCAGGGTTGTTTCTTCCTCTGCCTTCTAAATCAAACCCTGTGGCTGGTGCCCAACTTATTCATCCTTCTTTGCACCCCACCTTTTTCCAAAACACAAAGCTCCTTGAGTCTTGCCTTTGTCCTTTTCAAAATGGCACCAGCTGGCCAAACCACTTATCAAAAAGACGAGCGAGTGCTCTGTTTCCACCATGAGATTTTGTATGAGGCAAAGATCCTTGACGTCAGACACGTCGATCCCGACGACCGCAAGAGTCCGTATGAGTACCTTGTGCACTATAAGGGCTGGAAAAACACGTACGTATATCCTCGATGTTTTGTGTTTTCCGCGTTTCGTCGATCTTTCATGCCTAAATGAGCAAGATTGTACCTACCCCTTGCTCTTCTCCTAGTTACGAAGCTCCTCTGGACACCCTACGAGTGTTGGGGATGAAATATCTCTCATCTGCATTGGCGGGTGTACGTGGACTTGGCTGACCTGGCTTTTTGCCACATTTAGCTGGGATGACTGGGTCCCGCAAGATCGTCTTCGTAAATTTACCGAGGAGAACAGAGAACTTGCAACTACTCTTCGCCGCGAGGCCGAGGCTGCGTTCCGTCAGAAGAGCACCAAGGCCTCCGCAAAGAAAAGGGGAGGTTCCGATCGTAGCTCCGCCCGGGGAAGCGAAGAACGCCAGATGTCCGTTCCTGGCCGCGGAACCAAGAGAGCCAGGGACAACGATATTGAAAAGGTGAGCTTGCTACGTTCACTATTCAACTTTCAAAACCTGTCAATGACCATGATCTGGCCATGGCACCGATGATAAGGCTTGACACCTGTGTTGGGAATCGTAACTCTACAAGGCAACTAGACTGACAAAGAACGCTCTCAGGAGGATAGCTTTTATGTACGGCCATCTGTGAGGATTGTTATGCCCGACAATTTAAAGTCACTTCTGGTCGATGATTGGGAGAACGTGACAAAGAACCAGCAAGTCGTGGCTTTACCAGCTAAGCGCTCGGTTAATCAAATCTTGGAAAACTATTCTGAGGCAGAGAAACCCAAGCGCACAAGCTCTGCTGATCTGGATGTTCTTGAGGAAATTATTATGGGAATCAAGGAGTACTTTGACAAAGCCCTTGATAAGATCCTCCTTTATAGATTTGAACGCGAACAATACCGAAACCTCCGCAAGAAGTGGGAGTCGGGATCGGGTGACTTTGCCGACAAAGGCCCCTTGGATATCTATGGTGCCGAGCACTTAACTCGTCTTTTCGGTATGATGTTCTGTATGATATTGTGTGAAGATTACCGCTGACCATATCTAGCCACCATGCCCGAACTGATTGCGCAGACCAACATGGATCTCCAATCTACTAACAGACTCCGCGAGGAACTTTCCAAGTTCACTCTCTGGCTGAGCAAACACTCTAGCCAGTACTTTGCTACCAGATATATGACTGCCAGCAATGAATATGTCGAAAAGTCTAAGGGTGTGGCAAACCCCAACCCTGGCACTGCTACTTCACGTTTGGTCTGAAGGGGTTCAAGGGCGTCAGTACACACCGACTTTTTTTTCTTTCTTTTTTTAGAAAAAAACATGGTGATATTGCATGATGGGCTAAATTGTTATTCGTTTTCTGAACAAGATCTCCTTTTCGTTTTTCATTTACAGCACTGTGGTGGTTTCAGGAGCATGCAAGGATAAGCTTTTCACGCGAGTTATGGCTTCTAACGGTTCACTTTGTAACATTAGAGGAAATTGGCGAATGTTATGGAACGGTTTAATTTTCTAATCCCTCTTCTCTTTGACCATCAAGTTTGATTCAATAGACTAGAATAAGTACGGATATCATGGGCATTCTGTATCAGATTTCCCACAGAAACCCCAGAAACCATAGCACTTTTAACGAAAGTTCAGTCACACCAACAAACAGACCAAAACCAAGTAAACTACTTACACCACCAACTGCCTGGCATCTTCAACCACACACCTGGCAGCCTGCTTCAACTCCGTCTTCGCATCCGTCTCCCGCCACCTAGTCCAAGCGCTCAGACCCTCCGGCGGCTGAATGCTCAACGTATCATACCCCTGCTTGATAATGCGATGAACCTCCCTGGGACCGAGGTTTTTCTTCCGGTGCGCCGGGATAGGCGCCACACCTTGGCCGTCAGCATCGGGCTTCGCATCAGTCTGCTCCGGGTTAAACAGCAGGGTGTAGAAGTGGGTTGAGACGGAAATGAGGGTGTCGACGGCCGCGACGTGGACGTCTTTGGATGGATTGGGGTCTGTGGGTTTCGAGCTCGATGGTTTCAGGGAATACACGTCGCGGTATTTGGTGATGATGGGGCCTGTTTCGACTAATTTGTAGAAAAGGTCGTCGTAGGAGGAAGGGTCTGGGAGGAAGGTGTCGCCTGCGGAGACGCAGAATGCGACTAGGTCTACGAGGGTTGTGGTTAGGGTGGTGATGTTAGGGTTGGACGAGAGGTCGGTGACGTAGGTTGTTAAAAAGCGCATTAGCGAGAGAAGGTTGCGCCAGAGTTCCGACCAGTGGTATGCTAGGCGGATTTTGTTCATGGATAGGTAGGTGAGGAGGCGGAGAAGTATCGCGATTGAGTGGCTGTTAGTGCGGTTAGTATAGGGTATGATGTGGGAGTGGTTGGGAGTGGGTTTAGTATGTACCTGTAGATGTTGACGTCGAGGCGTCGTCGCAGGTTGTGGGAGATTGTATCGATTATGATGTCGAAGATGACTGTTGCGAGGACGCGGTCCCCTGAGACTACTGGTAAATATGGCTGCCTTTGGCGACAGAGACGGATTTTTCTTTTGTTCTCGTCACTGCAGAGATGCTTGCAGAGGGTGGAGTCCTCGGCGAGGATGCGGAGCGTGAAGAGGTTGAGTTCGGCGTAGTGCGCTATCCGTGGCGAGCGGTAGGCGTGGTGCAGAAGATAGGATGTCAATGAGAGGAAACTGGCGAATGGTGACTCCTCATTGTCCTTCTCTGGGGCTTGGCTGATCAGATGGTGGCCAAAGAGTTTGTTGGCATTTGTGAAGTCATAAGTAGCCAGAAGGATAGCTGCTTGCTGAGCCGGCCTAGTTCTGTTAGCTGTTGGTTAAATCCTGTGGATGCACCCTGTCTTACAGCGTCGCGAACATCTCCTTGGCTTCTTCTGCACTCGGTGGGCTAGCCTTGTCTTTCTTGCTTGGGGAGAGGGCCCCTAGGCCAAAGTAAACCAACGTGCTGAACAGCGTCCACCCCTCGGGGGCGTCGTCCTGCACAGCAACATAACCGTTCCTCACAGCGGCGCATGAGATACCGACTCCTTTGACAATCTTCTGAATGCTTGCCTCGTTGACAAAGTCGTCAAGTCGCAGCTGGTAAGGGTTTTGGAATTCGAATTTGTTGTAGTTTGCCAGCAATCCCAAAAGAAGAAATGGGTCAAAGACTTGGATCGGAGTTTCAGATTCTTGGACGAACTGCACGATGAGTTAGACATTCTAGGGTACGCTAGAAGACATAGATGAGCATTGAAGACAAACCTTCATGATGGACGGGAATAAATCGCGATGCGTAAAATAAGAAACCAGACTGGTTTTATATGCGCCACTAGTCATGGCGATAGCTGTCTTGATAGCCTTGATGCGCAAATCAACTGAGGAAACGGTCAGTATGGGCCGTTCCAGCAAAATGACAGGGGCACCAATGAAACTTACAGCTGCTTCCATTGCGAATAATGCCGTCCAGTACGGCGACAAAGTTCGAGATGACTTGGTCAACATGATCGAGACCGGCAAGAACTGTAATGACATCCGAACTAGGGTTGGTGTACTTCTTCTTCAAGATACAGGCTAGAAAGACCATCAAGGTCTACGTCACTCCTTAGAGGCTGAAGTACAAAGCAATGGATTCTATGAATATACGCACCTCTAGTGCATACGAGTCCACGGGACTAGCTCCCGAAGCAGCTTCACGGATAGCACGAATAAAAAGCTGCTGGGTTTGGACCTAATGCCAAGTTAGCGCACAGAAAGAGCATTTCCGTAGGTCAAGGTTGGGATGATACCTGCAAGTTGAGCGTTTCATCAGGGCTGAGCTGGTTTAGGATAGAGCTGAGCTGGCTCCGGTCAGGCGGCAGCAAAAAGAATTCCCTCCAAAATCCCTCGGAGGGTTCATTATAGTCCGAAGTCTACAAGTTGTGAGTCAGTATTTATTAAGCCAGAAGGTTAGGTGGCTAGACGGACTTGAAATAGATTCTCGTATAGTTGCACGACTTTAGGCTTGAAGGTTTCGGGTCTAGTTTGCTGAGTTAAGGGGGACTCCATGATGGTTAGACGGATTCAATGATCTGCATGGAACATAGGACCACGGCTAGCATCGCAGAGAGGAGAGCAATCGGGTGAGAGACAGACGGGCAAGAATGGAGCAGAGTATGAGTTCTATTGTTTCTATCATTACAACCATCCACGTCGTCGTATCGCAACCCAAGAACGGCCACATCCTTTTTCTGCCTATTTGGGTCAAACCCACATGAGCCACGCACGCTCTTTGGCCGGTCAAGCCACATTTCATTACATCCAAAACGCTCCACTTGTTTGAGATCTTTTTAATATATTAATCTAGAAAACAATCTTCTTTTTGTTGTCTCAGGTTTCAAGTCGTCCTTTCTAAAGGGTCGTTTGATTAGTATCCCAACCATCTCACTCCCATATATTACTTCAAGCCGTCAATGTCCATAAACAATGTGACATACAATACAATTGAAGATGACATAATTGTTCTAGTCAGGGGCTATAAAACTTAATATAAGAGACAGAAAACACATCCTTTAAATCTGTTACCAGGTTAAATACTAGTGTCGCCTCCGTAGACACTGCAGTAGCGTCATTCCAGGAGCTTATTACGAATGCTGATGGCAGTTGCACCAGAAGGTACTCACCAACCTTCGTGACCTTCCACTTTATTGAGGATCGAATGTGGAAGAAAGCCATTAGTCATCGGCCTCATGCCTAAGGTATCCGTTGCGGGAACAGCTGCTGACAATCACCTTATTAACGGTCCGGTAGAATGGATTTCATCCCCATAGAATCCAAGTCAATAGAACAATTGCACTACGTACTACCAAAAGATTAGTGAAAAACAGAGCCGCATTCATGCAAAGTAAGCGAACCATTCGTCGACTAATGGTCATCTACCCCATAAATGGCACTTATATTAGAATGATGGGACACCGATCAGATGACAAGAAAGTCATAAGTGGCGCCACTGAACTTGTGTAGAAACACCTCGACGATGATTGGCCCGCCGGGTACTCACGGTGACCCTCTTAACCGACCGCTGACTTTCTTTCTCCTCAAAACAGAACTCAACCTCCGAGTCACATCAATTCCCCCCGTCTACTTCACAATTTGCTTTCCCTCTCCACTAGATCACCTCAGATCCCATGAGAACTTAGCGCTGTGTTACTTCTATCATTGCATAGAGCCTTTGAACACCCCGTATTCATATCTACAATCACCATGTCCTTCTGCAGAGTTACCGTTCGCTCTCCAGTGACATCATCCGCCACGATGTTGCGCTGTGTGAGGAACCCCTACAAGACCCCGGCGCATCGTTTGTTCTCCTCGTATGGAAATGCACACCGGTCTTCCAAACGCGACATGCAGACCGCTACTGCGTATCGCCCGCATTCCTTGCCGACCGCTTTTCCTCCTCCCCGGAGCGGCGGAAGTTACGACACCTCTATCTCAGCTGATTTCCCTCCGCTTCGAGAGACATCGACGCAGCAGCAAGGAGTCTTCCCAAATGTTAGCCTCAGAGAGGGTGAGGCCCAGAAGTCCAAGCCTGTCGAATCGACTTCTCCAGCCTCGAAGCCCGCGGAAAAGCCTAGGAGGAAGTTACGTGCACGGAAAGCGGCCATGAAGTTAACACCCCAGGCTATCGTGCAACTCCGTAAACTACTGTCTCAGCCGGACCCCAAATTGATCCGAGTTGGTGTAAAGAACCGTGGCTGCTCGGGCCTCGCCTACCATCTCGAATACGTGGAGAAGCCGGGTACCTTCGACGAAGTTGTGGAACAGGATGGCGTCAAGGTTTTGATTGACAGCAAAGCGCTGTTCAGCATCATTGGTAGCGAAATGGATTGGCAAGAAGATAAGTTGAGCAGGAGATTTATCTTCAAGAACCCAAATATCAGTATGTTTCGCAGCTACTTTTCTTCCCTAAAAGTCGGTGAAACCATGATTGCTAACATGTTCTCAACAGAGGAATCATGCGGATGCGGTGAATCCTTTATGGTTTAGATTACCGTTCCGATTTTCTTTTACGGCCTTTTGGAATTATCAACGGTGCATCGGACGGCGTTCTTACGGATTGTTCTCTCCTGGATTATCGAGTCTCCCCCTTCTTCCTTGTTGAATACACCAGTGATTCCCGGGTTATAAAGCCCACATCGTGTAATACATACTGCTTTCGTTTCATCCTCTATGTCAAGGACTTTACCTTAACCGTTAGACCTATGCACAGTATGTGTCCTGAGTAAACCTGTGCTCGCTTTCTCCTTTTTCTACATCAATAATGATATCGAATCCAATGACAAAAACTCTTTGAAACATTCCCGCATGTGTATACAAATATATTTGTTCTCCAAAAGCTTTTGATGTCATATGGGTAGTTAAACGGAAGTTTTCCGCTTCTGTGCTAGAGTTTCCCGCCATGACGTTGAGTGATGGAGCCTATAGATTACCGCAGTACGCCGTAGCTGCATACCATCAATAGGATGAAACCTAGAACTCCACGAAAGAATTACTAGAAACCATACAGGGCAGAGACAAATTCTAGCTTCTCAGCCCTAGAAGAATGATAGGCATTCCTCTTACAAAACCCCCCGGCATCACGTGGGGCCTTATCGGGAAAGAATACTAGCGCCAATCTATCACTCCGGATGGGGGGAATCAGTCCACTCAGTACTCCGTACTGACTCCGCAAATAGCATCATCTACACCTCGACTTCCTACTATTATACGACACATTCGAGCCTTGCAAATACCCAACTATCGTGCAACCATTGAACATTCCATGCCCGGTTAACCAATAATCCAACACGAAAATGACAACACCAACTTTCCTGTCCCCAAACCACAATTCCAAGGAAGACCCGACACCCGACCCTCTCCTCCTCACAATCCGCTTCTCAGCCTCAATCCCCGACCTCTCACTAGACGTCCTCTACCCCGAAACAACCACATCAGCAGGCCTAAAACAACTAATCCGCGCCCGACTCTCACCAAACCTCTCCTCCCACCGTCTCCGGCTAATCTACGCCGGTCACGGTCTTGAAGACACCGTCCCGCTCTCCGTCTCCCTAAAACTGCCCCCCTCACCCGCCCGCTCGCCCAGATTAGCCTCCGACGATGAAGGCACCGATCTCTCAAAGGGAAAGGGCAAAGCGCCCGTCCGAGAACCACCTCGTCTGTACATTCATTGTTCGATAGGCGATATCGTCCTTTCAGCTACGGATTTAGCGACAGAAGCATCGTTAGCATCTACACTCCAGCAAGAGGATCAGTCACAGAAAGATGGTGATCAGTCAGGTCTGCAGAGTCAACATCAGCAGCAGCATCAGACGTCCTCGACGACACCTGCGCCCCGTGGTTTTGACCGGTTGTTGTCGGCGGGGTTTACCCCCGCGGAAGTGTCGGCGCTGCGGTCGCAGTTTATGGCTATTCAATCTGTATCACGGACGCCAGATACCATGCCAAGTGGGGCAGAGTTGCGGGAACTTGAGGATCGGTGGATGGACGAGGGTTCGTCGGCAATGGCAGCTGGGGGAGGGGGGGCTGGAGAGGGAGCGGGTTTCACGGATGATGATGGGGGGTTTGGGTCGGGGTCGCGAGGGGCTATGGATGATATGCTTTGGGGCGCTGTCATGGGTTTCTTTTGGCCGGTGGGATGTGCGATGTGGTTGAGGCGGGAGGAGGGGGTTTGGAGCTGGCGAAAGGGTTTGGCGGTATTTGTTGGGGTGGTTGTCAATCTTGCGTTTGGGACGATGCGTATCATGAACTGATACTAGGCGGTATTTGTTCATCCTCCTGCTTCTCGTTATATGTTCTGATGATACCCCGAGGTTTTGTTCTTGTTATTAATAGAGTGCGCCAATTGAGTCGTTGAGTTGTATCAAAACTACAAAAGTCGGCTTGATTAGGCCATGGAGATGCTATCATACAACGTTGCTTAGCAATGCCTGCTACAGCAGGCACGGTGTCGTAAGATGAATAGAAAAAAACGAAGAACTCCCGCACAACGCCTGCTACCCCTAACGCTTAATGGAACTTGCTGTAGATAACGGCAATAATCAGGAGAACCAAAACGGTTATAATCGCAATAGTAATTATCCGATTCGTAGCCATCCTGCGCAAAGCGAGGAAATGTTAGTAATATGAGCTATAAGGTAGAAGGGTAGGGGTCGAAGGAGTCAGTACCTACGGGCCATGCCCCTCAATGTTTTGATACTGGTATCAACATATCCTTCGCTTTGCTGCAGATTGTTCCGCGTATTCATAATGGTTTCCCGTTGCTGATTCAGGTCTGCTAGCGTGTTGCGGCCGATATCCTCCGTCTCCAAAGCAATCCGCTGACTTTCTTGGAGTCTGGCAGAGCTGCGCTCCAGGCGGTCCGTGCCGGACAGAAGCTGCTGCCTCTGCTCCAAGTGAACATCCTGCGGGTCGTCGGTGTAGCGATCGCCGAAGAGCGCTTTTCGGTCGTCAGAAAGAGACTTGAGCTTGCGTTTCGACTCATCAAGGTCCGTAGCATAGTTGCGGAATCGTGCGTTAACTTTTGACCGTGCCGCCGAGGGGATGTTCTGCTTCTCCATGCGCATCTGGTCCAACTGCAAATGATCGGACCTGTCAATGAGATTTCACGGAGAATTGTAAAGGTAGGCAACCAACCAGTTCAGTAGCTTCATCTAGCACTTGCTCCGCTTTCCTTATTGACGATTTCCGTTGCTCTCCACTCGACTCGGCGATCTGGTCCAATGTCTGGTTCAGATCGGCCTGTATCAGCTTCAGCTCGGCCTCGTAACTACTGAACAGCTCTGAGCCGGCATCAGTATCTAACGGGTTCGACATGATGACGAGATGCTATCTAGTTAAAAAAAAAAAAAAAAAAAAAGGAAAATTTGTGTATGTTGCGACGTTGGTCTAAATTGGGTTTTTTAAAGCGCTCAATAGTCGATGATAGGCAGGCGGATTCCGGGGGACCACCTTATCTTGCGGTGGCTGGTGGCACCTTCGATCAGTCAGAACGAATTTAGCAGGAGAACACACACACACTTTCCTCTCTACACGATGTAGGGAGTGGTCGCTGATGCACAAAATGAAGGGCACACGAACAAGACCGAAAGCTGTGAATGTCTGCTGGTTGAATGAGGGGGGAAAGTACGGAGTAGGCAGAATGACGATAGGATGCCAATGATTGTCATTCTGGGACAGGAACCCCCGACCCACACGTGATGCGCGGCCGAGGTTGAGGTTTCCGTTTTTGATCATTCTTACTATGTACGCTATGTACACTATGTACTAAGTACTCTGTAGTAAGGTCAAGTATACTGGGGGTAAGTATAATTCTGGATTGATTGGCGGATCTCCTTGGAATACTCTTGATCTTCCGTGCTAGAATATACGTCATCTGCCAGCCTTTTTCACAGTTAACTAACTAGTGCAACTGATGTGCCCACGATCAACGGAATCTGATATGCGTGCAGATACTATGTATGAGCCAGCCACCCAACTATAGTGCGCCCTTGATACAACTGGAGCTTGTGGAGTATGCAACCTATTAACCCCCGTGAAAGAATAACCCTCTCAATATTGGAACTTGGCCAATGACACTTTGGGTGCTTTGGAGTGTCATAATGCGATATTTATTCCCCCCCCCTTAAAAGTCAATTTGCCGCTGGTTCACCCATGAATAACCGCCCTGTCATCTGATACGATCACACCCTAGTAGACTGAAGAGCGTGTCTCAATGAGCCCCGTAACCGCGTTATGTTGACATTCTCTCGTTTCCTCCTGATCTACTCCGTACTCCGTAATCCTTTTCGACCACCCTATTTCTCGCCACCTCTCGGAAAGTATGAGCCGAGGTCTGACTGGGGGCGAGTAGTATAGATCTATCTCCTGTTTCATCCCCAACCCGTGCAACAGTTGTGCACCAACTGTTGCATTTCGTATAGAAGGCTGTTTCCACCTTTAACTTGCTGATATTGATTTTTTTTAGTCAGATAGGAAGCTGGTTATCTGAGAATTTCTGTCCCATGCCGCTTCCTCACACCGAACGAGTCGCTATTGTTGGCGGCGGCTGCACTGGCACTACTTGCTTCTGGGCATTGCAACATTCGGCGCATGATGTCCACCTGTTTGAGGCTTCGGCAAGCTTGGGTGGGCGTATCAAGTCCCTACCATTAGAACATAGTGGGAAAGAAGTCGATGTGAACACAGAGTCACCATCCTTCAATGCCGGAGCTTCTCGTCAGTTTCGTTATACCAGAAGGGCAGTTCAGGGCTAACATCTGTATTCAGCCAATCTCGTGTCTTTGCTCCGCTACCTAGGAATAAGCACATCCGCCGTACCATTTAGTTTTGGCGTGTCAAACGGTGTAGATACTTATGACTGGTGTGGCGGTGTTTGGAATACTATACTCCTGCACCCGTGGATGTTGTGCAGCTTAGGAACCTTTCGTTTGTTGTTCGACATCGTATGGTTCAACTATTTGGCCATGGATATATTAATAGACAAGCGTCGATCCCATGACAAAACCAACGTTCAACAGTCGCTCAGCACACACAAATTTCTTTCAAAGGAAGGATATTCAAGGAGCCTTTGCGACGAGTACCTAGCGCCTTTGCTTTCAACCCTATGGGGGACAAATATTGGAAGGTTACTTCCACATTTTCCTATGACGACGCTCATCCGCAGTTTATGCGACCATCAACTCTTTGGCACACCGCGAACTACGCCAGATTTTCGGCGTATCGACGGTGGAACAAGCCATGTTGTTCAGACCATGGCCAGGGGATTCTCCCCTGAAAATGTGCATCTCAATACCAGCGTCCGGGAGATAGTCCGCGTGGGTAAAAGGCAATATAGCATTTTCACGGCGGATGGGAGAGGACTACACTTCGATCATATAGTCTTCGCCGTGGACAACGACGAGATCCTCAAGATACTAGGTTCCAATATAGATACCGAAGAGATGGAAATCATCCAGGGGCTCAAAACAACCAACAATATCGCCGTCTTGCACTCAGACCCTTTTGTAAGTAACCCACGACCCTCTACCATAAGCGACACGATTGAACAACCACTTACGCATTCGAAACTAGCTGGCACCCAACATCCATGGCTCTTGGCCCACCAACAACTACACCCTAGACCTCACCGATCACCCCCAGCATGACTTCCCGGCGTGGGCACCCCGCAAATCCAGCCTCACATACAACGTAAACTCCCTCCAAGATATCCCGACCTGTCTCTTCGATCGGCTATACATCACTCTGAACCCATTTACACCGCCACATCCCCGCTTCGCACACAGAATATGGGAATACACCGACCTCGAACTCAGCACCGTATCTCTCCAAGCTCAAAGCCGTCTTCCTTTGATTCAGAACAAGAGGGGATTGAGCTACGGCTTCCGTTGGACCGGACGTGGGTTTCTCGAAGATGCGGTTACTTCTGGTCTCGAGATGGCTATTGAGCATTTAGGTGCTCAGGTACCTTTTGAGGTTCAATACCACCCTGATCCCATGTGTTCTTCGAAATCTCCATCTATAGAGCTAGGCTTGAAGGACCATCTTGTTCGGACGGCACTTTGTTTGGCTCGGGTCTATGCTCTGGTTTTCCAGATTTCGTGGATCTTATTGGGGGCGCTTGGGTTCCCTGTCTCAAGAGTTGAGACTATGTTTGAGTGGATGTTGGGTGGGGATAGAATGCTTAAATCTTAGTCGACCGCTTTGATGGTAGAAAGCCTTTCTAGAACTGGATTCTATAGCGGAAATGAGATCAATGAAAACATGAGACTAGTTGACATTAACGTTAAATGACTATGATGGATCATTCGCCTGGCCAATACAAGATACATCAGACATGGTATACACATTGCTCTTTTTTTTTTTTTTTTTCAGTTTCTTTTACTCTTGTGCTCTTTTCTCAGTCCAAAGCATTAGTTCAAGAAAGATCTGCTTCATTTCCACGAAATACCCTCTAAAGGAACTTCTCGCTATCCTGGCTTACAATCGTCGCGCTTCTCTTTGCATCAAGGAAGAGGTCTTCGCATTCGGCCACATCGGCCTCCTCGATACCTCCTGGCCGTCCGTTGACCCGTGCAAGGATGCTAGCTGGGGTCAGTAATTGCAGCGCGTACCGCAGGCTGACATTGCTGCCGTGCTCGGAGATCTTGTCGAGCGCGGGATCGGTGATGTTGAGACCTTCCGTCTTGGCACGAAGGCGAATGATAGTCTTGATCTCGTCAGAAGAGTAAGGGTGGGTGGGGATGATGAGGAGGCGAGCGAGGAGGTCAGAAGGAATGCCGTGTGCGGCGGAAATGTCGTCAGTACCGCGGATGACAGTGTGGCCACGGTTGGAGGCGAGGATGACGATGGGGGAGATTGTGGACTCAAGTGCCCGGTTGAGGTAGGTGAAGCATTCAATATCCAACATGTGAACCTAGAATGGGAATGTTAGAAACGTAGGGCGGTAACGCAGTTATGATAAGTCACATACCTCATCAATGAAGAGGACACCAGGAACCAGCTCAGCAACTCCTTGGTCGATATACCGGCTAACAACCTTGTCGATCTCCTGGCGCAGCTTATCCGTGATTTCGGTCTTCTTGGGCTTCATCAGTTGTCCCATCATGCTCATAACGTCCTGTCCACCTTGTGGTCTAGCGTTGGCCATGTCCAGGTCATGTAGTGTCACGTCCTGTACGATTTCCTTCTTCTTGTGAACCTCTCCCTTGGGTACAGGAACGTATTCTTCCGCTTCAAGGTCGAACTCGGTCGCATAGGCATCGGATCGTCCAACTCTCTTACAAGCACCAGTGTTCGCTTCGATGTAGATAACATCTCCAACAGTGACTCGTTCTTTCTGGATAGCTTCATAAATGCTGGGATCAAGGCGCAGCTTCTTGGTTCCCTTCGCAGACTTCAATCCGATAATCAAGTGACTGATTGTGCGTCCATAGCCTCCCAACGGGTTTTCAGTTTCCTCAGGCGTAAGCTCGGTGACTTCACCTTCGTACACTTCTTTCGTTTCACGGACACGGAGACCTAAAAGCGTGTTAACCGTGAACATTTCAACCTGTAAAAAAGGCGCTGCACACCAATCGCTCTCCGGAAGTTCTCCATAAGTGCCTCCGTTTTCTTAACCTCAGCAGAGTAGACCTCGCTGCCAACGATCGGACAAAATGGGACCTTGGTTCCCAATTCCTGTGATACGGCAAGGGCGAGCGCCGTCTTTCCAGTACCCGGTCCACCGGCAAGTAGAACAGCACGCCCAGCCATCTTCTTCGCTTTGATCAAATCGACGACAACACCGCATGCCTATTGAGGAGAGCTAGTTAGCATCGCTATCGTCGAATAACGCGGTCGGAGGAAAAGAGCATGGCGCACCTCACGGGCGGTAGTTTGACCAACAAATCCATCACTGGAAGCCTCTGCAGTGCCATCGGAACGTAATCCAAGACCCTTGATATGCGTGTGCGCGGCGGTCCTGTTCTCGCGCGAATTGCCCTTCACTTCGCTGATCTGGACCATGGTGAAAGGGTTGTGACCTCACTCAGAAGTCACGATAGATTAATTCAACTATGATCGGAATGGTCAGGGATTGAAATGTCAATTATGTATTATTGAGAAGAAACGAAATTGATGAGCCAATAGCGAAAACTGGAGAAAGGACGATAGCGATGGATGCTTCTGGCCGAAATTCAAAGCGCAGCTTAGGGACCGCTCAATGATAGCCGCCCGTTGCTAAGGCGGTGAAGCCAACTCCCAAATTCTTTCACCTCACTAAGGTAGTCAACGAACTACTCCGGCCCTCCATATTTATCGGACCTTCGACGCCGTTCACTTCTTCTCAACTGTCTTCCCTGTCATGGTCGATACTATATCGACCTTTTGATCAAGACAATGGCGGGTTTACAGCCTCGTTCGGCTTTGTCCGTCCCGTTCTCCCTCTCTACGGCTTTTCGCAACCTTTCGTTAACCGCCTCTAAACGGTCCTTTTCCACGACATTAGCCACGCAGAAGACGAAACAGCTGCCTGATTACATTCCTCCTTACCCTTATGGTCCCAATCATGTCTACAAGCAGTCGAACACCGGTCTCTATGGAGGCGTCATGATCCAATTCGGAAACAAGATTTCCAAAGGTCGGAATGAGGGGAAAACCCGACGCTTCTGGAAGCCAAATGTTCGCCGAAAGAAGATCTACAGCGAAGCGCTTGATGAGTGGCTGTTTATCAAGGTCACACGTAAGGCTTTGAGGACAATCCGGAAGTCTGGTGGACTCGATAACTACCTTCTTGACGACCGGCCGGGGCGGGTCAAGGAACTTGGAGTGTTCGGATGGCAGTTGAGGTGGAAGGTCATGCAGACCCCGAAGATCCAAGAGCAATTCCGACAAGAACGAAAGCGCTTAGGACTCCCCGAACCGCCATCATTCGAGGAGTGGGTGGCGCAAAAGGAAGCCGAAATTAAGGCGCAGGCGGAGGATCTGACCAACATCAAGGAAATCACGAAGCCAACCTACAACGAGAAGCAGTATTAAGGAGAGAGAAAGAAAAGCTTCTGGAGAAGCACCTTGGACAGTTGATTTGTTCTGATTTGCGGTGACCAATGGATGGGCGTCTGTATTATTATTTTGTTCATGGTCGGCAATGCCTCATATACCACTTCCCGGTATTGATAATTGGGAGGGATGGCGGAGGCCAGCATACAACTGCCTCTCAGTTGTTGCATTTATTTCCTTGAATTTGCATGATTAGCTCTTCAGTGTACTTATACGTTGTCAATGCTACTTTGGGTTAAATATAAATATAAATATAAATAGTTCGTTATAGAGATAACGTGGATGGGATAGAGGAGGGAGAGTTCCATACACTACCACGGCTGTGACCTTCCACGCCAGGTGTACAGGATCTTGACACTTTTCTACAAGACCTATCTAGCCGCCCATACAACCAACAATCAACAACTAACCAAGACATTCCTGAGGTAATGTCTTGGATAATGTGTCGGGCCGTTGATGATCCGCATCTAATTTCCGGATGCGGCAGATACTAGATAAGACCGTTCCAGAAGTACTGCGACGCTGCAAACTACATATCCACGATACCACACAGCCCGGTGTCTACTTTCTACTAGAATGTGCTGATCGATAGTTTCGTCCAACTGTACTCACAGTCACCCAGCAAACCACCGCTGGGGGCAAATCGTTCAGCCATGCAGTTCGCTCTACCTCCTCGGAGGAACGTCAATGCTCCTCTATACGGCCGCTCGTCCCGGCTGTCATTACAACGCAGGAAACAACTTAAAGCTGTTGCGATATTAGGATTCGCACTGGTGGCGATTTACTTCTTATTGTCGCAGCTATTTTATTCGAGTACAGGAACCCCTACAGCACCGGCCGGGACTTCAAGTCTTGTCATCGTGACAGTTTTAGACCGTGCCCGCTGGAGCGCTGATTACATCCAAAAGATCACCAAGAACAGAGAAGAATACGCCAAACAACATGGTACGTGAACACACGACTCCCTGGCTGTTCATACTTACAGTACATGCGTTGCTCAAGGTTATACGAACTTCTTTGCCAACATATCCGATTACGAAACTACACTAGAGAGCGCCCCGCGAAGCTGGGGCGTCGTCCCAGCCGTTCGACATGCGATGGCTGCCCATCCGTACTCGAAGCACTTCTTCTACCTCGACGCGCATGCGCTGATCATGAACCCGAGCAAGTCACTGGAGTCGCATCTCCTTGAAAAGAGTCGTCTAGACTCGCTGATGCTCAAGGACGTCCCCGTCGTCCCCCCGGATAGCATAATCAAGACCTTTTCGCATCTACAGCCCCAGGATGTAGACCTCATTCTCAGCACAGACGGCGAGAGTCTTAGCTCCGGAAGCTTCGTCATCAAACAGGGAGAGTTTGCGCAGACATTTCTCGACATATGGTTCGATCCTTTGTATCGCAGCTACAACTTCGCCAAGGCCGAGACACATGCTTTGGTAAGATTTATCCTAGCTCCGTATCGGGTCGCTCGACCGCTTGTAACACAGACGCTAACGGCAGTCATTTTTTCAGGATCATATTCTCCAGTGGCACCCGACTATTTTAGCCAGACTAGCCTTGGTTTCCCAGCGAACAATCAACGCATACAGCAAGGACTCGTCGGGCGCAGGCGTGGATGGAAACTATAAGGACGGTGACTTGGTCATTCGCTTCTTTGGATGTGACACGGATACGAAGCGAAATTGCGAGAAAGAGATGGAGCCATATTACCGTCTATGGAGCAAAAGACTCAAAAATGATTGATTGCCTTGTACGTCTGAGCACTAAGTTTCATTAAACGAGGATACAGGGACTGCTCCAGAAGTTTTCGTCTTGGGGCGGATCCCTGCGACTTAGTTTGCTGGTGTTTTGGAGCTGGAGGCACCTTTTCCATATAGAGCGTTTCTGATTTGCTAGCTTTGGATGTTTAATATAACAAATACTAAATTACTATTTCTGAATTTTTGGAAAGAAGTACCTTGAGTAAACGTACAATCGGAACTTATGAGTTGACACAAAAGTTTGTGCTACCGGTCATAATTAGTTTTTTATTAGTTTCTCCTCATGCTAGTAGAAACACCTGTCGCCTGCCGCGGACTGCTGTTCCGACGGCTCTATTTAAAACAATGTACCTGAGAGTTACCAGGTTCGGAGTGGTTAGGGGGCAACATGGTAAGGGCTAGCCGTACCTCACCACAGCCCTTTCAAAAGTACTTGATTTGAGCTCTTTTCGTGAAATCTAAAAAAGACCAGGAAGCATAACGAAGCTCTTGCGCTTGTACTTGTCACCAAACTCCTTACGGTAACGGCGTTCCTTCTTCTTAGCCCACGCGGCCATCTGCGCACCGCCGACGGCAATGAAGAACAGTACGCTCCAGCTGAGACCGCTAACGAGATAGACACCGATCCAGGCCATGATCTCGAACAGGTAGTTCGGGCAGGTGACAAGGTTAAATCCAAATCCTGAGGGAATACCCCTTTCTGTGGTACCCGGACGGCGCAGGTCACGTAGCACCAAATGCGAGTTCAGGTTGGCCAGTTCACTAAAAACGAAGAGGCCGAGACCAGCGTAGAGGAGAGCAGGGTTCGGTTCGTTGACTGCGGTTGCGTCGGGACGGAAAACCCAATAGGCAATGTTCAAACCAGCCAGGACCCAATAGTGTGCGCTATTCTTGAAGATATTGCGTGCGGGCATCGTGGCATTGCTGAAGCGGTGGATGAAGATAGTCTCGAATTCACGCTTGAGGAAATGAATGGACAATAATGCACAGACCAGTTGCTGAAGGTAGGATGGCTCGGGAAGAGGCTTGTCGAAGTTGTAATAGAGGTATGGACGAAGAGGGTAGAGGAACAGCGCAGGGATAACCAGAGGGCCGAAATACTCAATGATGAATACGGTGCGCCATCCAATTTGGGGGCCTAGAGATTGTGTTAGCTTGTTGCACATAACGAACCGAAGCGGGACCTTCACACACCGAGGTCCTTGACATGGACAACACTTCTCTCCTTTAGACCGGTATCATCGACTTTGGTCTCTTTCGAATTGGGTACTACACTGCGGTCGCTTCCTTTAGTAATTCTTAGGCGATGGATGGAAAAGCCGGAGGCCGCCGCGAGCGCCGTGTAAATGTCCTGGGCGGGAGCATTGGGGCTGATCTGAATTTCCTTAGGGAGTTTCTTGATCGGTTTGCCTAGTATAGAGTAAGTATGTGTAGGGAGATAAGAGGCATATAGGATTGGTGCCAATGACTGGCAGCCTGTGCAGGAGGCATACATACCCCGGGGCTCAACAATTAATGTAATACTTGCTGGCGCCATTCTTGAAATTTAAGATGTGTCGTCTAGATAACCGGATTCAAGGACTAATCTCGCAAGTAGACAATTAAATGCAGTTTAGGCGGCGACCAATATCAAATATTTCGAGGGGGAAGAGCATCAAGACACGATTGGTGATAGGTCAATTGACCTCGGCTCGACAGGTGGTCACATGACATCAACAGTTCGGCTTTGGTAAATGTTGAGGACGGAAAATTAAAATTTAAAGTTGAGAGCTTGAAGGTGGGGCGACGCCAAGGAAGAACCACTTAAACTTTCCAGGAGCTTTGAAGAGTCAAGACCAAGTGATGGCACGTCAGGCGATCGAGAACATGCTTCAAAGACTGGAGTCATATGAGGGAGAATGAAGCATCTTGCAGATCAGGGACGTGCAGGGGATGAATCTCCTACTCTGAGTAATATCACCGAGATACTCTGGACCATGCATTGACCACCACTAGAACTGACTAAGAGACAAAAAGCAAAAATACGCAGCTTACCCATTGAAGGCTTTCTTCCGAGGTATCTCGCGTGTTTATGGCATATCTTTCAATTATGGATGGATATCACTTAATATTCAGCTCCTGTTGCCTCCGTAAGAAAGGCGGGTTACAACGATAGTATCCTTTAGTCGAGTCAGTTCAGCCAGCCATGATCAGTATCACATGATTAGCCTCGTTTAGTAATGCTAAGCTAAGAAAAATATTGTTTAGTGTCAGACGCCCATGGCGGCTTCTGCAACATGCAAAGGAGTGTAGATATCATGATCATGTCTTCTCAGGTCACAATTGGCCAAACCGTGAGAATCGGCAATGCCGACGGACCATCAATCACCTACTTAGAGCAATAAATTTGAATGGAACCACAGACAAATTTCCGGTTGCGTTTCTGCGCCACCTTGCTGAACACCCCTCCCCCAAGTCGCAGATCGGGTCTCCCAGTCCCACAAACCAATTTGATCCAATAGTTAGCAGACAGAGCTGTTCATGGTGATCCTTGGATACAGGGGGGCTTTTCGGGCTCCAAGGTACTGTAGTTTTTCTCTTTAGTTTCGGCCTAGAATTCCCCACGGGCTGCGTGGATTTTCCTCCGCCATGGATGGCAAGGTCGTATTATTACTAGTCTTCCTCAGCCGTAGACTCGTATACTCCGTGCGCGAATCAAATCAACGCCATCTCACTGGCACACCTGCCAGTGGGGCTCTCCTTGTCAAGGGAGGAGAAACGGCGAACAGTTGGTTGTATGCTTTCTAATCCAAATCACATCGGAGCTGATCATCTTGAGCTGATTCTATTTCTTCAGCCGCACCGTAATCCTTCGAGGAGAGCCTAGGCCGTTATGGTTGTGGCCATATAAAAATCGGTTGCAGGAAACTTTTCCTACTCTTTTTTATTTATCTCTTCTGTCTTACGTTTAAATACCACGGTTCATGTATAGATTCACTTTTTCCCTTCTGAGAGTTCGGTAGCTGCTTCATTGTATCTTTGTTAAATCGGTCACCACCAGCGTCGCGCCCGTTTTATTTCTTAGGTTCTTCGAAGCTCTGGGCGATCTTTTGCTTGGATTTTCGATATAGGTGGGTGACTATGAGCCCCTCGTGCCATTAAGATGCATCTCTATTTGTCTTCTGGCTTTGCTCAATCTCTACGACAACCTTTTGATTATCTCTTCTTCCTTTGCTTGGGAAGGAAGGTAATGGAGGGACAGGAGCCACCGTTGTTTTTGAGATCATTAGCACTGATATTCAATAGCAGCTAATATATTTACCATTTCTTCTGGTTTCTGTTGCTTCGACAGTTGTGGATAGTCCTCTGTACTCTTCTTCTTCACAATGACAGAGCAAGAGAGTAATGGTGGTGTGATCAATGGGCTAGGAAAGACTGTTTCTCAACTTGAAAAAGTCGTGTCAGCATCATTACGGCCGCTGCCCACCGAAACAGGGGATGGATCTTATGTGAAGGAGTCAAATAGTACGGGAATTGTCAGAGATCTGGGCCGTATGGATTTCAGCGATGTCAAGACGATCGTGGAACTCACAAAAAATGCCACCACGGGAGAGCCTCTCAATGATAAGCATTATATAATGGAGCGATTGATCCAGGTTTGTTGCCGCAATCGTTCGGACGAGTAGTCGCGTCTTGGATTAATGAGAATATTTCATTCTAGCTTACCTCTGCACTTCCTTCCACCTCTCGGGTCGGAAAGGAGTTGACAAATGCCTTCCTCAACCAGCTATGGAAAGATCTGGAACATCCCCCAGTTTCGTACGTTGGTCGTTAAGACATGAGCCGTGTGAGCACGTCTAACAATGAAGGCAGGTACCTTGGCCGCGAATACTCGTATCGAGAAGCAGATGGTTCAGGCAATGTAAACCTGCCCTAACCCCCTTGGAGTAGAGTACTTGCTAATGCTAAAAAGAACGTTTTGTGGCCTCATATTGGAGCTGCCCGCTCTCATTACGCGAGATCCGTTCGGCCAAAGACATTGCAATCCCCTGCGCTCCCGGACCCAGAAACACTTTTCGATTCGCTTTTGGCACGCAAAGATTTCAAGGAACACCCAAACAAGATCTCTAGTATTCTGTTCTACATCGCCTCCATTATTATCCATGGTGAGTAGCGGCCAATAACGCTCATCGCCCATTCCTATCTAACATTTACCGAGACCTATTTCAAACGGACCGCAACGACGACACGGTGTCCTTAACATCTTCATATCTCGATCTTTCGCCGCTGTATGGGAATAACCAAGACGAGCAAAACCTTGTCAGAACCTTCAAGGATGGAAAGCTCAAGCCGGACTGTTTCTCCACTAAGCGTGTACTCGGGTTCCCCCCGGGTATTGGCGTAATATTGATCATGTTTAACCGATTTCACAACTACGTCGTTGAGCAGCTGGCGTCAATAAACGAAGGCGGCCGTTTCACCAAGCCGGATGAATCAAACACCAAAGAATACGCAAGATATGATAACGACCTGTTCCAGACCGGTCGGCTAGTAACTTGCGGCCTCTATGTCAACATAATCCTCAAAGACTACGTCCGAACAATCTTGAACGTCAACCGAACTGACAGCCTTTGGAGCTTGGATCCTCGTGCTGAAATGAAGGATGGATTGCTCGGCGAAGCAGCCGCTCAGGCCACAGGTAACCAAGTCTCGGCTGAGTTCAACCTCGTGTACAGATGGCATTCTTGCATTTCCCAGCGTGACGAGAAGTGGACGGAAGATTTGTACAAAGATATGTTTCCTGGAAGGGACCCGAGCAGTGTCTCCCTGCAGGAGTTTGTACGAGGTCTCGGAAAATGGGAGGCAGATCTTCCAGAGCAACCCCAAGATCGTCCATTTGCTGGCTTACAGCGCAAGCCTGATGGATCCTTTGACGATGACTGTCTCGTTAAAATCTTTGAGGACAGTGTTGAGGACTGTGTAGGCGCATTTGGTGCATCTAATGTTCCAACGATCTTCAAAAGCATCGAAGCTTTGGGGATTAAACAAGCTCGCTCCTGGAATTTGGCTACCTTGAATGAGTTCCGGAACTACTTTAACCTGACCCCTTATAAAACTTTCGAGGAGATCAATCCTGACCCTTTCATATCTGATCAGCTCAAGCGACTATATGATCACCCAGACCATGTGGAGATCTACCCCGGTGTTATCGTCGAGGATACCAAGGAAGCCGTGATCCCTGGAAGTGGCTTGTGTACCAATTTCACAATTTCAAGAGCCATTCTCTCCGACGCAGTTGCCTTGGTTCGAGGCGATCGCTTCTACACGGTCGATTTCACTCCGAGGCATCTTACAAACTGGGCCTTTAGCGAGATTGAGCCTAAAGATTCAGTCGATCAAGGCCAAGTGTTCTATAAGCTTGTGTTGCGGGCATTCCCGAATCATTTCAAGGGAAACTCAATCTACGCACATCTCCCTTTGGTTATTCCCTCTGAAAACAAGAAGATACTGACAAAGCTTGGGTTTGCTGAGAAATACAGCTGGGACAAGCCTGGTTACACTCCCCCACCTAAGTTTATTAACTCTCATTCGGCTTGTATGTCAATTTTGTCTGATCAAGAGACATTCAAGGTCACATGGGGCTCAAAGATTGAGTTTTTGATGCACCGTGGCAAACAGCCTTTCGGCAGAGACTTTATGTTGTCCGGGGATAGGCCTCCAAATGCCGCATCGCGCAAAATGATGGGAGCTGCTTTGTACCGGAAGAGATGGGAAAATGAAGTCAAGTCATTCTATGAGGACATAACTCTGAAACTTCTGCACAGGAATTCTTACAAGATCGCTGGGGTCAATCAAGTTGACATTGTACGAGACGTTGCAAATCCCGCTCAGGTTAATTTCTGCGCAAATGTTTTCTCATTGCCCTTGAAGACCGAATCTAACCCGCGGGGAATCTTCACGGAATCCGAGCTCTACCAAATCATGGCTGTTGTTTTCACCTCAATCTTCTACGATGCGGATCCTGCGAACTCGTTTGAACTTAACCAAGCTGCCCGAGAAGTGACGCAGCAGCTTGGACAGTTGGCAATGGCCAATGTCGAGCTTGTCAACAATACTGGGTTCATTGCGAACCTAGTGAGTAGTTTACACCGACATGACGTGCTCAGCGAATACGGTGTCCATATGATCCAACGCCTTCTTGCCAGTGGACTGCCAGCGGATGAGATTGTATGGACTCATATTTTGCCAACGGCTGGGGGGATGGTAGCAAACCAGGCGCAGCTTTTTTCACAGTGTCTTGACTATTACCTTTCGGAAGAAGGCTCGGTCCATTTGCCTGATATCAAACGGCTGGCGAAGGTTGATGCGCCGGAAACCGACGAATTACTGTTAAGATAGTATGAAGCCCTGCCCCAGGTTCCTTACTCTCGACTAACCATATGAAGCTTCATGGAAGGCGCTCGGTTGCGGTCTTCCGTGGGACTACCTCGGATGGTGGCCAAGCCCACTGTTTTTGAAGACAACGGCGAAAAGCTAAACCTCAAGGCAGGGCAACACATTCTCTGCAACTTGGTGAGTGAGGCCAATACCTATTAAAGGACACAAAACACGACTATTGCGGGCACAGACAACTTACTGTTTGCACTTTTCTAGGTTTCCGCTTCCATGGACCCGACAAGTTTCCCAGAGCCTGATAAGGTCAGGCTTGATCGCGATATGGATCTCTACGCTCATTTCGGTTTTGGTCCACATCAGTGTTTAGGTATTGGGCTTTGTAAGCTAGCGCTTACCACCATGCTCAAGGTCATCGGACGCTTGGATAATTTGCGCCGTGCCCCAGGGCCCCAGGGGCAGCTGAAAAGGTTGTCTGGGCCTGGTGGAATTGCAAAGTACATGA